TAACCTCGAATAATGAAGATCACCTGTAGTGTTACAGCTTTTTCAGCGATCATTCAGTGTTACAGTTAAAAGAATACGACAGGGAGACACAATATCACTAACGTCTTCCACTATGGCACTAGAGAGTTGAATGGGAACAAGTTCATTGGGACTACGAACGCAGACGGGACGATTCAAATTCCTCGTTTTGCCGAAGCCACTGCCATATTTTCAAGCAATATCGCATACAGAGTTATAGCGTCTTAACGGTTTAGTGAAGTAGGGAAAAATATGGACTACAGAATTATGGAGCACAGAGAAGATTACATGTACACATAGGTAGAGTATTCAGTGAATACGGATAGTGACTTAAGAGTGAGTAGAAGGCAGCAAACAATGTGGGTCTCTTTCGGGCTTCTCACATCGATCAGTGACTATGCAGTGCTGACTTAAATAAAGAATGGAAGCAACGGGAGATAAAAAAGTAGAACTCCAAAATTTGTCAGCTTGGTTATAACATTATCCTTTGTAGGCCTTGTTTGGCCTGTTTCCACGACTCGTTTGAACCAATACTCAATAGTTTCTTGGTTGTTAAGCTAACACGAAATAAATAAATAGAATTATTCGGCTGACGTTTCGACGTCCTCATTTCCCTCACAGCTGATGATCGGAGTTGGTGGTCCACAGTTGTTTCTCTCGATGTAGAGTCTTCGTTGTCGTACCACGACGGATCTTCTTTAGGCTAAAACATTATTGTTATCGTAAAGACGAATTAATCGCTTTGTCCAATATTGTCATCAACAGACAGTGGCATCAGCCACAATCGTCCTGTATAAAACAGCGCTGCTGGATGAGCACGCCTCACTCAAGCGGTGTTCGTCAGAAGAAAATCCAATGCTCAACTTTCAACCGTACCATTCTTTCACGTTCGCATTTCCACTTGGAAATCATATATCTCTTCTATGGATACGACGGTGCTAAGCAGATCACCAGCCAGACGTTGAGTACAATTATTCTAGGCACAAAATAAAAAAGGTAATGAAGCATTTTTTTGCTCATTAAGGAAAAAATCTCCTAAACGTTTACCGCCTCATCGTGGCAGGATTCATCCATCTGGCAGAGTCTCCGAAGTTGAGAAGGAGTCCGGCATTTTTATCAGGAAGTCTAGCTAAGAGTAAACCAATGCCAGGATCCACCACCGTCCTTGTATCAAAGTCGCTTGATGGCAAATCTCCTTTTGATCCATAAGGGCTACGACTGCCTGTGGTGGTGAAGACCTGGGGCAGACTTTGGCCAGACTCACTTCGGGACTCCGGGGAATCACAGTGGCTAAATCAGCAAAACTCCAAAAGATGAGATTGTGATGGGGTAGCACGACCAGTGAGGCAAACCATTCAAGTATCAAGTAAGGAAAAAAAGTTGGTATGGAGACTGAGCACCGCGTTAAAACGGGTCTCCACTCGGATTCTTGAGCAATAAACGATTTCTTCGAATTTCTCTTAATTGTCCATCTAAATGAATTTTTAATGACCTTAGCTTTTACACACAACAAGTTGCGAAGAGCAATTTTTTAAAAAGTTTTTTCCGCAACGACTGGATTTTTGCGACTGCTGATTCCATGTGACTAATCACACGTGGTTGGTGCACTTTCCTCACGCGTTCAATTTTTGTTCTATTTCTTCTACATTGTAAACCTCACCCACACTCAGAAACAGCTTACACTTCCCACTTGTTTATCGCAATTTAGATCGACAATACACATATTCAAGTTATGGTTCAAACAAGAGTTGACACGAGGTTGTTATTATAGAAGATATTAAAATAGAGTTGTTATAGTGTTTGGCTGGGTAGATCGCATTTCGATTTAACCCCTCCAGGCTCTGAAGAAGACGAAACCGCCGAAACGTCAGCTATTGTATTCTAATAAATTCTATAATAACAACCTCGTGTCTGCTTATTGAAGAAAAACATCGAATTCTCGATCAATGCCGAGGTTAAAAGAAAGTCGGTTATGGGAATTGCTACGTGAAGTGCCAGCAGAATATTTCCGACTTGTAAAAGAAGTACTGTCACTAAGACAAAAAATTGTCTTAACTAGTATTCTTTCTCCGCCACTGCCTGAAACACCGAGTCGTGCCGAACTTCATCAAACCAAAAACGACTACACGATGTATGCGGCCTACCGAGGGACAGCCAACTAGTACTGGACACCGAAACGCGACTACTACACGCCTCTCTTCGATGGAAACAGGACACCATGTACGCGCAATTGAAGAACTGCAAGTCGAAGGAATCTTACTGTGTTCAGTATTTGGAGGAGAATAGTGGGTGGGTCAATTTTGATTTGCGATTCTATTAGGTCAAATGCTAAAGCAACCTTAAGCAGAAAGTTTCAAAATTTACTAGATCATTCGCAAAAACCAGCTTCAATTAAACAAGATAAAATCGCTTACGAAAGCGCTAGCACTAAAAATGTGGTCGATAACGTGCCTGAAAGCCAAGGGTCACCGCGTCAGGAGGGATAACTCTCCCCGATGACGCACGCTCGCTGTTAGAATTGGTTCCAAGTGTCTCACCAGCGCAACCAATTTCTAAAGAAACCTTGCGTAGGATCGCGTGCAGCCTGCACGAGCTCCAAGGTCGACTCCGAAGCAACGCTAGAATTGAGACACCAAATAAAAAGGAACAACGAGAAGTAGGGGCACTACCACCACCTCCATTTCCTCGGTTATTCTTTAGACAGCAAGACCCAAACGACGAAATCGATATGAAAATTCGTATATTTTCGAGCGAAGCTCTCAAAGTCCTTAGCCACTATCGCGCGAAAAAGTTTAATTCGAACCTGACAGCTGCGCAAAAATCTGGTATGCGACAGGTTCGAGAGCTAATAAAATCAAAGACTATTAGACTAGCAGTAAGTGATAAGGGTAGAGAGTTTGTAGTAATTCCTCGCCAGTTAGATGTCGATATAACGAAAAAGCATTTTGAAGACGCATCTCTTTATCTCACATCTACTGAGAAGGAAATATGAAGTCAAAATCGAAAACTAAACAATGGGTCAAAATGACAAGCGCAACAGGTTTAAAACCAGTGTACATTTCACATCTTAAGATCGAAGTGCCGACATGTCCCGTCTTATACTTATCAAGACCCATAAGTTAATATCCTCTGATGATCTTGCGTCTACCGACCCCTCAAACTTTAAAGTTAGACCCATCATCAGCTGTATAGACGGGCCTACTGATAGAATTGCTTGGTTTATAAATCTAATCCTCAACCAGTTGCTTAAGCACATGCCAGCCCATCTCACGAACACCCAAATGTTCCTAGACCGTCTGCGCAACGCACCTCCCAAAAGCGCGTACGTTATGGAGTCGTTCGACGTTACCGCCCTTTACACTAACGTGTCGAACGACTCCCGCAATGCAAGCCATCCGAGAGCTTCTTGAGCAACACGAAGGAGCAATTAACATGTATGGCTCTTCGATTCAGCAGCTTATGGTCCTCCTAAAGGTCTGTTTAAACTGCTCGATCCTCAGATAGTCTGGGAAATATTACGCCCAAATTAGAGGGTTGGCAATGGGACAGCGACTGGCACCAACTCTTACCGTGGCCTTTATGTCTAAAGTAGAAGCACCAGTAATCGATCTCAGGCCGTTACTCTACTGTAGGTATATAGATGATTGTTTTGTCATCTGCTCGACACAGGAGGAGATGGACGAATGCTTTGAGGGGGGACGATCAGTTAGAATACATAAAATTCACTCGTGAGAAACCGAAAAAAAACTTGCTTCCATTTCTAAACGTTCAAATCAACCTATTCGAAAACGACTACAGCACAAAATGGTATCGAAAGCCGAGCAGTAAAAATATAGTGGTTCATTACCTCTCCTCTCATCCCTCACACACTAAAAGGGCGCTTATAAGAAATATGTTTCGAACTACGGCCAGCGTGTGCACAGGTAGAGATCAGAGGGAAGAATCCTCGAAACTGGCGCGTCAAATAGCCATTTCAAATGGTGACTAAGCTGTAGCTTCTTGGCATAGGCATAGAGGAAAACCCACGCCCCAGAGCGATAATTCTAGCGAAAACAAGGCTCCATTCCTCTTGCCTTTGTTTCAAACGAAATAAGTACAGCTATAAAACGTTGCTTGATAAGGGCCGGTCTAGAGAATTCCGTAAGAGTGATAGAAATGCCATCGCAACCACCTATATGACCGTCTATGTATAACGAAAAGCTGCATAATTTGTCCTAACGGTAGAGATGGCGATTGCATGAGCTTAGGTACAGTCTATCTGATCTCCTGTATGGCGTGCAGGGACGAATACATTGGCGAAACGGGTAGACCGCTCTGCGTCCACATAAAACAACACCTAGTTGGTAAATTTAAATTAAAGCCAAACACTCCACTAGACGTGCATAGGATGCAGGAACACAACGGAGAAGATTTTGAAGTAAAAGTCACCATCCTCACGCACGAATCGAAAACATCAGCGTGTAAAACTCTTGAAGCGTTTTGGATCAATTCCAAAAATTCAAAGATGAACCACAAGGAGGAGTGTCTTGTGATCACGCGTGACCTGGTGCCATACCTTAGGCTGATTCAATGATTTGACACAGACACAGCCCTCGCCCATATATTACTCTGTGAGGCTGCTATCCACCAACTAGCTTGAGTACTTACAACAAATAAACGGTAGGTGTTTAAATGAAGCTGTTTCTTATGCGAATACAAATTTATTTGTTAAGTTTGATCTGCTAGGGTTATGAAAGTGTTTGGCTGAGTAGATCTCATCTCAATTTGACCTTTCCAGGCTCTAAAGAGGCCGAGACCGCCGAAACGTCAGCTATCGTATCCTAATAAATTCTAGAATAACAACCTCGTGTCTGCGTATTGGACAAAAACATCGAGAGGGGGGACCTCAATGGCTAAACCAGCAAGTCTTTAATCAATCAATGACGAGGTTAACAAAAAGTCGGTCTTAGGAATTGCTACGTCAAGGCTTGATCTTTCCGTGAATGCGCTTACATCGCAGCGGTTTGCCACCTCATAGTAGCTGGGAGGTGTTCCTAAGTGTCGGACTGCGACGTACAGCGGGGGGATTCGTCCCCCCGACAGGGTCTCCCAAGCTGAGAAGGAGTCCGGCGTTTTCATCAGGAAGCCTAGCTAAGAGTAAACCAATACCAGTATCCACCACCGTCCTGGTATCAAAGTCGCATGGTGGCAAATCTCCCTCTAATCCACAAGGGCTGCGACTGCCTGTCGTGGTGACGACCTGGGGCAGACTTTGGCCAGGCTGTCCTCGGTATTCCAGGGGACCTCAATGGCTAAACCAGCAAGTCTCTAATGAATGGTGATTATGCTGGGGCCCGCACAACTAGTGAGGACGAGCCGCTTAAGTAGCAAGTATCAAGTGAATGCGCCTAAAATACCCCATACCTTCCGAACAGCGGAGTGTATTTTTATGAGACCCCAGGACACTTTAGTTTATAACATTTCTGTCTCGCACTAGTTCATTAATTCGCTTCATTCCAGGTCGATTCCATTATTCGCCAGTGCTTCCAAACCCTTTGCAAGGACTGGATGTCTGAATGCCACTGGTACTGCGATGCTGTCAAGGATCAGGTTAGTGGAATTCTTACTTGTCGCGTCTACCGATCGCTATCCTAATATCGTTAATTCTTCGGTGACTAGATACATAAAGATTTAATAGACCTGAAAAGTGGACTCCGCTTTCAAAATGCGTGCATATTTCCGAAAATGCCTTTATTCCAATGTTTTTGAACTTAAAATTAGCTGCCAAAGTGACATATTGTAAAGGTTTCTCTGTAAACACAGTAGTCGCGAACGCCGATGCGGAGTTCGACGAAACATCGTGCTTTGTTCAATTTTCGGATGTTCGAAAGTGAAAAAAGGAGCAAATCGTTCGTTCTATCTTGTATTTTATACTATTCCTTATTCATCGCAGGGTAAAAAGCTAAAAGCTTTTTGAAACCATGCCATGAGAAAAGCTCTCGGCGTTGGTCAATCGCTAAGCGGTGCGCTATGCATTCGATTTCATTAACCATCGTTTGGAGGTGATTGAATACATATCTGGCCTTTAAAATAACTCGCGGTGACCTACCGATGTATCGAGCCAGCGCTGCTATCCTCCCAGACAGGTCTGATATCAGTTACTGAAACCAGAGGGATGGAAGGCTTGATGGGCCATGGGAGTGGGGATCGATTCCACGTGTTTGTTGCAGAGCGCCTCCGACCACTGCACCAGTCGCGTCCTTAGCTGTGCTATGGTAGGGTACGATGTGAAATACACCACAAGGATGCTGAGATGTTGGCGAAACTCGATAGCATCTATAGAGTAAAAACATGGTTGAGACAAAGACAAGTCAAGGGCCTCACTTGGTGTAGTGGAAAGCATGTGAATCCTCCCTAAGCGAAATAGCTTTGTTGAAGTCCACTTGAGGCTCATAGTTTTTGCTGGTGTCCTAGCTTAGTTGTGGTTGCACTTCACGAATCGTGTGCACTAGAATCCTAGAAGTTTATACTAGAATGTGAAACAAATTTGCGATTTATTAGAAAATTTTATAATGTTTTTTAAAATGAGTTTGCGTCGTTATAGACATTGCTTTAGTGTATTTTCCGCAGGGTAGAGCGGATGCCATGAATTGTGCTCAATGCATTTCCTTTTCATTGAATTCGTTTTCGTCAGGGAGCTTCTCTGGTGGACTTTTTTTTTTGAATTGATAACCAATCCAACGCAGGAGCTGTGTCATGCGAGAGAAGCTGCATTCTACACTTGACAATCTGAAGAAAGCCCTTTGTCGTAAGAGTTTGTTTGGGTACGAAAAAAGGTTGTTGTTGGTGAATAAAGTGTGAATAGGTTGTCTATCACAGAAACTCTTGCGGGTAAGTAGTGAAGCTTATTCATTGGAAGCAGCTGCGAACTGCTTTCCAATATATGATATGGAAGTCTCCCTTTTTCCATTCTCCGCAGAATCGACGTGTACGATGCAAACGTAGGTCCATTCGTCCGTAACGGAGAAATGGAGCCCATTCCTGGATCCGAATTCGCTCTTTCATCGTATGTATGAAACCAATTTTAGTCCGCGTTTAACCCTTCGCCCCATTTAGGACGATTTGCTTAGCTTTGCTACCAGCCATCGAGAGATCCCTTGCACAAGGGGCCCCAAAAACATCCAAAACTAGGAAGGCCACCTTACAGTGCGAATAGCATAAAATTGAGGTTAGAGAGGTTTGTGGTCTACATTTCTCGTATACAAATCAGATGTATCCAAGCTATCCTCAAATGCAAAATCGCCTTGAATTCATTTGTAAACGACTTCCTGCAACGCATCGCTGCCGATGCATCAAGTCTACATTAAGCGCTCGATGACTCGGTCTCATGAGTACAAAGCACTGTGAGATTGGTCCCGTTCGGAAAATTTAATAAAGAATGAAATACAGCGAAGAACTTAGCGTGTAGATTTAATCTGTAATTCCTTTCAGCGCTGCAAGGATTGTTTGAGTTGGCGTGGGCAGAAGTGCATAGATTGCTTCGACATATGATCTGACTGGGAATATTCAAACGTGCATTGAGTGGTATTGAAATTGAAGGCTGCTCATTGATGCGGCTGAACCAGAAGAAACAGGCTGATTCATAAGATATTTCTATTCATTGTTCGTTATAATGTTTCCATGTTTCATATTGACATCCTAGTTACCCTGGAGCGGAATTAATGCAGCACATTCATTTCTTTTCCTTAAGTTTTAATGTCAATCGGACTTCCAGTCTTCATGTTATTATCTATGAACCGAACACTCAGGCTTGACATTCAGGTTAATAGTATATGCTAACTGGGCGGGACTTCCAAAACGTTCGGAACTTGCCCGAATATAGCGTTGTTGCGGGCTTTTTGTGCAGGAGGGAAGAACCATTCTAATGTGCTGCATTAACTTTCGGATAACTCAATATTGGCGCTGCTATATTGTATTACACCGCCAATTATATTCATGTTGTCATCGAGACTGTCAAAATATGTTGTGGAAGAGTGTGCTTTTTATTTCCACATCAACCTGTTGTACAGTGGTTTGTTAATAAATTTCGTTTCAACTACTTTTTTATATTTGACCCGTCTTCACGTCTACTGTGCGGGTCCCAGCACTTCTCACATTCAGTTCGTTTCCTCGCATCCATTATCAACGAGGATTTACGTGTGGCTTCGGTTGTTGATTGAGGATTTCCATTTCATTTTGAATGTCGTAGAATGCTGGAGCAATTCTCCCTGGAGCTTTGAGATAGCCGGGCTGAAGTGATCCTAATTGGATTGCAGAGAATGATTTTCTTCCCAGACAAGTTCAGTACCAAATTCCCGACCCCAGAGGGATGAGAGGCTTGGTTGGCCCCGAGTGTAATCGAAGTATCACCATGCTCGTGATAACGGGCATCACTACCATTTTGCTATCCGCTCCCTCGTTTTAACTGCTATGGTGTACAATTCGTGTTATGTGTGAAGTTGTGTGTGGCGCGGTGGTCGGAGGCGTCCTGCAACACACACATGGAATGAATCCCCGCGCCCATGACTCAACAAGCCTTCCATCCCTCTGGGGTCGACAAATTGGTACCAGACTTGTCTGTGAGGATAGCAGCACTGGCTCGATACATCGGTAAGCCAGTGCGAGTCATTGTAACGGCCAAACATGCATTAGATCACCTACAATGATGCTTTGTGAAGTCGAAGGCATGGCGCATCCCTCAGGGGTTGATCAACGTCAAGAGTTGTCAAGACCCTTATGTATGAAGTCGTCATAAATAGGAATACAACCACCACCGAAAAGTCAAATTTTTAAGACATGAGCAGAGATGCTTGAACAGTTGTGTGTCGGTCACAGGTAGGCGCAAAGGTTGAAGTGAGGTTCATATTACAGCTCATACTAATTCATTAACACATAGATAATTAGATGCATTGATGTCAATGCAGATTGGAAAGGTTGACTACATGCACATTTTCGGCTATTTATTTTGCCGTAATTTTTTTGCTTTGTCTCTTGTATTCAACCGACGACATATCCAGCAAAGGTTCCTAACGTAGTCTGTGGAATGTAATTCTACACAATAATTTACAAAAGGGCTTTTTCAGACGACTTTTTCAACGTCTGTTGCGCGCGGAGGGACCTAATTCTGTGTGATTTATGGACGATGCCCAATTTTTGGCAGTTATGGACCTGCTGGTTTTTCGGCAACAGACAATAGTATTTTGAGAATCGGAAGACTTTAGGTGTTGAACCCGTGATATGAGTGTAGAATTGACCTTACTCTGTCGCTGTATTGGTAGTTGGTTTTACATTTTTGTTTGTCTATTAATGTCTGTTATTTCTCTACTGGTTGTGTATTGTTTACTGTGCGTCACTGTGGTCTTTCACACATCAACACGGTTGTTAAAACCTGTCTGTCACCTTACGTTGAATCAAATTTTTTCTTTTATCCACCTATTCCATTCGATAGCTATGATTTTTAATTTTTCTTCCACACCAACCATCTTCGCATCTATTGTGCGGACCCAGCATTTCTTGCTTTCATTTTGTTGCCTCGCATGCACAAGCCACAAAGGCCTTCGAACTATTCGCGTGTGGGCTCTCCTGCTCCTCAAAGATTGTTGACTTCTTTTATGAATGTCGATGAATGCTGCTCGACTCGATTATCCCTGGACTCATGGAACGGCCAGGTCGTTCCCCTTTGCATTGCAGACAGTCAACTGTTTCGAGAAAAGTTTGGTACGAATTCCAAGGGCGCGGTATTATGAGTGCCTCTATTGGACCGGAGCCGGGTCGAACCAGAACCGTATTCGTGATGAATTTGCCAGTAAAACTGCGCTACCTGCTTTGAAGTAACAGTTAATTATGAGTCAAAGAATCCGTCCAGGAATCCATTCGATGAAAAGTTTTCTATATTCCTAAGAGTAAAATAGAGCTTTCCCTGTTGAAGTCTGCTAAACCAAGCACAATTTCGAAGATCTTCGTGGCTAAGGAAAGCAATAAAAAATTGAAGTGAAAACTACTGGGATTTATACGTGTGAAGTGTGGTTATAAAAATAAACATAAATACAAATATATTCGAAGCCACTCTGTCCAGTATCAAAGAATGTTTTTAATGTGGTTTTTTTCTCAGTTATAGGACATCGCTTCACGAGAGTTGCTGAAGTAGTCATTGCCTTATGTGTTCAAGTATTCGGCTCTTTAAAGTATTCTTGGGAAGCACGGAAGCGGATTATCACGCTCGTTCAACGATGCCGTTTCAAAATAGTACGACGAATAGCCGACAAATTTGTTAACTCCTCTTTCTCTGCTCTGTATTTCCGTTCGAAAGTCTTATTTGCTCATGAAATCATTCAAATAGACATGAAATGACTCCAAATTGTTTGTGCATTCTTAACGTCAGTAGCTGTGATTTTAATTTAGTCGATAGCCACAATGAAGCTGAACACGTGAAGTAGCTAGAGACCTTTCCGCGACCGAACAGTGCAGCTGTCAGTATACTCGTTGCGTAATGTCTAGGAATACACACCGCCATAGCAGAAGCGCGTATGAGTGCCTACGAAAGAGGTTCACAGTGTGGAGACAATGTAGCCCGTTCATCATTGGTCATTACATCTTTTATCTTTTATGTCTTTTAT